GCAGGCCTCGGCCTGCCGGGGACCCCGCCCGCCGGCCCGCACGGCTCCTGGGTGCTCGATGGCGCCGGGCCTCACCGAGATAGATGTCTCCGAAGGAGCCGCTGCCGATCTTGCGGCCCAGCCGGTACCTGTTCCCGACCCTCAGCTCCATGGCGGCGGTGCGGCTCGCTACTGCCCGCCCGGCCGCTTCCTGGGTCTGCGCTCCGGGAGGCGGCGCCGCTGCTGCCGCTACTGCGGGTCCGGTCCGGCTCCGCCCCCCTCACGGCCCCGCTTTCACCATCGCTTTCTGGTTGCCCCGTCGCTCTCAGCGCCTCAATACGGGGCGGATGGGACAGTCCGAGCGCCGCCGCCGCTGCTCCGGCCCCTGCCGGCCCCGCTCACCCTCTCCCCGCCGCGGATGGACTCGGATCTTCCGGGCCTAAATCCCCCTTCAGCTGCCTAAAGGAGCCGCCGCCATCGCGCTGTGACGTCACTTCCCCTAGCAACTCAGAGGGGCGGGGCCACGGCGCTCGGGGGCGGGGTTTGGCTACTTGATGGATTGCGCAGTCGCAACCGGACCTGTTTCTCCTCCGTCCCACTATCCACCGCTCCCGCAGGGCGACAGCTGGTCACTTTGGGCTTTCCACTTGTCTCCAGCAGAAATCTGAGGAAACTAAGACGTGAGTGGTGGTCCCACTGGCTCTTAGGAGGATCATGAGTTCGAGACCAGCCTGGGCTACAGAGACCCTGCCTCTAAACACACCACATATACCAAAATAACATGTTGGAGAAGCCAAAGAGCAGTTCCTTTTGCAAAGCCTGGGAAAGGCCCTAAAGTTCTGCCCTTTGCAGATGGGGGAACGGGGCAGAGAGGAGGCTCCAGTCCCGGCTCTGGGGTCACAGGTAGACAGTTTGTTTTGTAGGAATCACCAGTCCTGGGCTTTGAATGCTGCAAAACGTGTAGCTGTGGCCTGCTGCCGCCTGCCACCTTGTTGCACATAAAGGATGGAAGAAGAGTGGTCTTCCTGGGACCCACAGTGGGCAGGAAGGTAAATGTTGAATTCACTGATGGTGTAGAGGGATATCCCAAACCCGGGTCTCTCTCCAGCGCCATCTGCCTGGAGACCAAGTCAATGTTTTGCTTTGTTTTGTTTTCTGGTCTGTATTGGATCTGAATGTTCTTCCTGGAAAATACAAACATGAATTCTGAAGTCCAGCTGATGGTCAGCTTCCATGACTTGGCTGTCCATCTAACCACTAGGGAGGACCTTCGGAGGAGCCACCACACAAAGAGGTGCACCCTAACTAGATTACAGCCTTTCACGTAGATGCTTCTCTACGCCCACCCCACCCAGCTAGAAACAGAGCCATAGATCAGTCTAATGCTTTTATTTGGACAGCTAGCACCCATACCACTCTGTGCACAGGGTATAGAGCTGCGTGACACCTCAGAGCAACTCCTGACTCGTGGGCAAGAAAAGCAGTCCCGCAATTGCCCTGCAGGAGCACGTGGAGCTCATATCTCTTCTCTTCTAGTCTCCTGGCTCCACCACCTTCCTTTCGGAAGGTGGTGCGGCCGCGCCTGCCTGCACATAGCTGGCAGTCAGGTTGGGGAGTATTATACAGCATGGCTGGAGACCGAAGACACCAGAAGACAAACACAACAGCTACTGAGTGGTAGGTAGTTGGGAACTGTCCAGCTTCTCAGTCCAGGAGTCAGAGCCAGACTTGCCCAAACTAGTAATAATCTCACTGACAGAATTCACTTATGATTTTTCTAATGAAAAATTAGAAACATATAAACAACACCTAGCTTCCCCATCAGAGAAACCCATATGTTGAACTGGAAACAGAACAGACCTGGTAGCTGGACCAACCTCTCTCTTAACAGCCTTGGGCTGATCCTGGCCTGATCTTAGGCTAGTAACCCTCCCTCTTGAGGCACCTGTTCTGTCTGGTAGGAAACTGAGGGTGTGAGCTGCTGTATGCCTAGGGTTCTGCCTGACTCTCCTGTCTTAAGTCAGGACAGTCAGTGGTAAAGTGATCAAAGTTCTTGCTATATTTTACTTGATGGTCAAAAGGAGGCAAAGCATGGAAAGGGCCTCAGGTGGGATCAAGGTCATTTACAAGTGGCCTGTGCTGGGATTCTTGGTTTCCCATCACATTACCATGATGCCAAATCCTGGGCTTTCCAGGGATTGCAAAGGCTGAGCTCATGACAAGTGTCCACCACCTGCTCCTCTGAAGCGCAAGTCCTTTCTGTACCTTTCATGCACCACCCTCTCCTACTCTGCTATTAATGCGTATACTCTTGAGAAGGGGCCAAGTATCAGACCTACAGACCCCTCTCATACAATGACGGTGCCTACACAAAGGCCCACGTAGGTCCTTAGCAAACATGCTGGGTTTGTTTGGAAATGGCTTTGTTCGCTTCTTGGCTCACAGTGACCCTAAGTGATACACCACACTAAGCATTCACTATTCAGCTTCATGAATGACCCCTGAATAGATGCTCAGCTCAGTGTGGGGTGTAAGGTCAGGTCAGCTCAAAGCAAGACAGCAAGGTACAGAAACTACCTTGAGGACCTGGAGTAGCCTCTGTGGGGTACTGGGCTACCCCCCTCTTAGCCTCACTTACCAACAAGGGTGCTGATCTGGGCTCTCTCCTCCTTCAAAACTCATACCTGGATTTCCTAGGTATGTTCTAGACTGGACACCCCTGCCCAGACAAAATCTATTTTAACCCCAAACCTCAACAGAAGCTTAATTTCCTCAGGAAGGTTTGTGTGGCCCCTGTTGGGGTTGGGGAGCTAGAGAACTTCCTGGCTGCCCCACAGAACTTGGAGCATAGCTTCCATCGTGGCCTTGCTGAGCACAGCCTTACCTCCATCCAACCGGCTTCACTGTGAAGGTCGTATGTGTCTGCAGATCCCCCACTCCCAGCTGTGAGCTTCCAGATACACACAAGATCACTTGTCTTCAGTCCAAATTTCTTGCAGGCACAGGGTGAGGTTCCCTTTTCCAATCCCAAGTTCTGAGGTGAGTAGAAATCCAGCCTGACCTTCATCCTGTGCCATCAGAAAAGAAAATGAGAGAACAGAATGACCATGTTCTTCCTCCTGGTAGTATGGAGGATGTCTCCTGTTGAGCAGCCTGTATGAGTGTGTATAACCTTATTTAAACAGAGTTCACCTTCCATGCAGCTCACGCATTTAAATTATGCAAGTCCTCAACAGAGGACTTCCCATCCATATCCTCAGAGGTACACCACCAGGCCTCCACAGATTTTGCCACTTTTTATTCAAATTTTTTTGGATTTATTTTATGTGTGAGTGTTTTGACTGCATGTATGTCTGTGTACCATGTCTATGTTTAGTGCCCTTGAAGGTCAGAAGAAGGCATCAGATCCCCTAGAACTGTAGTTACAGATGGTTGTGGACCACCATGTGGGTAATGGGAATCAAATCTGCTCCTCTGCAATAGAACCACTGAGCTATCATATCTCCAGCCCCCAGATTTCACCTCTTTATACTCCCCACAAAGAAGCCAAAAGTCACAGTATCACCCACGCCTCAGGAGTAAACAGAGACAGGGCTTGGGCTCTGGGGGTTCAGAGTTTATATTTCCTGTGTAGCCATCAGAACTCAAAATGATGACCCAAAGAGCACATACTTCCATTCTCCACCCAATCTCATGGTGCCAGTGTCAGGCAAGTGGTAGACACATAACCCTATTTCCAGAATCAAGGAGGGTGCTGTATGTGCTGTGTGCACGTGTCCTAGGAAAGACGGTGAAGACCTGACCTGGGCTGGACACAGAATGAGAGCCGCTCTGGGGGTTCCCCTACAGGTCTCTCTCACAGTGGCCCCACTCTTCCTTGTAGTTGGTTTTTTTTTTTACTCATTGCTCTTTGAGGGGCCAGCTCCCCAATAAATACAGGGAGACATTATTTCTTATGAATGCCAGGATTTAGCTTGGCTTGTTTCTAGCCAGCTTTTCTTAAATTATTCCATTTACCTTTTGCCTCTGGGCTTTTACCTTTCTTTATTCTACATACACTTCTGTCCTTCTTACTCTGTGGCTGGCCCCTGGCATCCTCTCTCCTCGATTTTTCACTATTCCCTCCTCTTCTTTTCTCTCTTTATTTATTCTCTCTGCCTGGCAGCCCTGCCTACCCCCCCTCTCCTGCCTAGCTACTGGCTACTAAAAGACCAATCAGGTGTTTTAGACAGGCAAAGTACAGAGTTAAACAAATCCAACATGCCAGACAGTGGTGGTGCACGCCTTTAATCTCAGCACTTGGGAGGCAGAGGCAGGCAGATCTCTGTGAGTTCGAGGCCAGGCTGGTCTACATAGATCTAGGACAGGCACCAAAACTACACAGAGAAACCCTGTCTTGAAAAATCAAAAAAAAAAAAAAAAAAAAAATGCAACACATCTTTGCATCATTAAATATTCCACAGCATAAACAAATGTAACACATTTTAAACTAATATTCCACATTCCCCCTTTTTGTCTAAATAAAATGAAAGATTTTAACTTTAACATAGTAAAACTATAAACAACCAGTTATCAAGTAAGAATTACATTTACAATATGCAGTCCATTTGTATTTAGTAAATTCAGAGAAAATACTCCATTTTCTCCATCTTGTGATTCCAAAGTTTTATACTTCATTTACTTTCTATCATAACTAAAGAAAACTATAACTATTTAGTCTTTAGCTCCATCAGAGGCCACAGAAAGATGTAATATTACCTAGCAACAGAGACATCTGGTTGCCTGGAGAGTCACCCAAGGTTCCTCTGCAACACTGGGGCACCCATCTTCAGCCTAGAATATCTGGCGGACTTTTCAGTGAAGCAGGAAATTTGAAAAACTTTTCCACCTTGTATTGGCAAAGTTTGTCAGTTACTTTTCTCTGTGTCCTACAGAATATCTGGCAGACTCTTCTGTGAAGTGGGAATGCCGAAGGACCCCCCTGCCTTGACAGAGTTCCACAGTTGTTCTCCTGTGCCCCACTTGTCCTGTCTGTACAGCACAATCAGCAGTCAAAGCAAGAGCGGTTTCTTGCCCAAATGGCTATCCTTGCCACAGTGAAAACAAACTCCAAATGGAGTTTCTTCAGTGCCCAACATCCTTTTATAAAGTAAATTGGTGCTATCAGGAGCAGATCTGTCTTGTTGTCATGAAAAACCTTGGAGTATTAAACATCTTAAACGCCATATTCTATAGTAACGGAATTTTCCCAGGGGCCTGCCCTGAGAAGATTCCTCTCAGAGTCCTGAGGAAGACTCTATGTCAGGCGTGGGGTTATCTGAGGGAAAAGAATCTATGTACACCATGCTCTTACATTCGTTTATTTCTCTAACAAACTTTTATCTACACAGCTTCAGTTCCATCATGACACTCAGTTCCTCATAGTTTTAGTAAGCTCCTGTGCTTGCAACCTCATCTTCATCCTCTGTTCCTTCATCTTCCATCTTTCCTTCCTAGCTCCTTACCCCTGGCTCTTCTTCTCTTCTCTCCAGCCACACAGCTCTGTTCACCATCTGCAGAAATTCTCCTTGTTCTCTTCTCTCTGGCCACACAACTCTGCTTGTCCTAGGAATTCTGCTCCAATCCTTACTGCACCTGGTTATGCAAAAAGCCCTATTGTCCTGAGTCAATAGCTCTGCAGTGCTACTAGGCCTGAAGCCAAGGGATGGTCTGAGCTTCATTTGCACAAGAAACAAAGCTATGCATCTACAGCCTGCCTGTCTCCTAGGCCCTGCAGGGGTGTTAGTTACCTAGTGGATCACCAGTAGGTCTGAGAAGCTTAGCTGTTTGCCAATATGGCCTAGTAGTATATGGGTGCACAAGAATTTCATAGCAGAAGACAGCTGATATATAAAAAGCTAAATAACACTAAATGGCTTCCTCTTGAAGGACACTTTGGTCAATCAAGGTATAGCTTATTATATACAGCTGAATCTCTATAATATATTCTTGCTGCTCACTGCACTATAGGTCTTTGAAGTATTTGAAAATCACTGTTGGCTAGGAGGAGGTGGTGGTGGTGGTGGTGGTGGTGGTGGTGGTGCACGCCTTTAATCCCATAGATCTCTGTATGTTCAGGGATACAGCCAGCATTGGAGACATATGCCTTTAAGACCTAGGGGGCTGTACATACAGGCAGTGACGAGGCAGTCATGTGTTTGGGTTTACAACCAATGAGAAGGCAGAATGACTATGAAACGACTTACACACAGGAAAACAGCTCTCTTTCGGGAAGCTGGGACACCTCAGGAGGAAGGGTGAGATTTTAGATCTGACCTCTGACCTCTTGGCTTTCTCTTTTACATTGTTTCTGTGTTTCTTATTTAATAAGACGGTTGGTTACATCAACAGACTACAAGCCTCACTTCTCAATTATACATTGTACTTTTTAAATGAGCTGCATAAGCACAAATAATACTCCAAACAAGAATAGAAACATATACACAATTTAACAAAAATAACTTTAAATTTGTATCAGTATACCAAAATCCATGTCAATGCAAAATATGTGAGATTAATAGTTGCCTTTTTATCCTATATTCTTATATTCCCCTAAATGATAACAAATACCTATAACCCACCAAATAACAAACAATCACCCACCCCATCTCTTGGGAATATGGGCATCATGCTCTCCAGACTGCTTCCTATTGTCTGTGGGTGAAGGCATCTTTAGGGGTTCCTGAAAAAATTGAGATAATGGCCAAGTCCTGCAAAGACCAGCAGTAGCCTTTGTTGATATATATCACCTGTCAAGATTCAGGAGGTCTCCCACAATCAAACCTGATCCATATCAACTCTAAAGGAATCTACAGCTTCTCATTTCCTGTGGAAATAAAAACAAAATCCTTCTCCAAAGCAATGCATTTTTTTGAATTCCATTTTAAAGTTAAGGCATTCATAAAATATCTAGGTTGGTTCAATTTAGTAGTCTTGTTCACAATCCCATGTCTCTTAGCAGCTGTTGTTTGCTTATCAGCAATCAAAAAATTAAAAATCAACACAATACTATATAGGATCCAGACTCCCTGTGTATTTCTCTACTCTACATGGCTTATTCTTTTTTTAAAATATTACTTCTCTCTTTAAAGACTTTACTATTTTTAAGCTACTTACTTTTTTATAACTCTATATCCTTTCTCTTTTCTTTCTTTTTTAATTAGAATAATAATTATTAATTTATTCACATTTATTTATTTAATGTTTATGTGTATTAGTATTTGGCCAGTGTGAATATCTGTGTGAGGGAATCAGATCCACTAGAACTGGAGTTACAAACAATTGTGAGCTACCACATGGGAGCTGGGAATTGAACCTGGGTCCTTTGGAAGAGCAGCCAATGCTCTTAATCATTGAGCCATCTCTCCAGCCCCCTCTTTTCTTTCTTAAGCCTATGCATATTGCAAATAATCCACAGATTACTGATAAAGAAACTATTTATTTTAAAAAAAAACCCTACTTATTAAAAAATTATAGCCGGTCAGTGGTGGTGCATGCCTTCATCTGAGCATCTGGGAGACAGAGGCAGGCAGATCTCTGTGAGTTTGAGGCCAGCCTGGTCTACAGAGTGAGTTCCAGAACAGGCACCAAAACTACACAGTCTCGGAAAAAATATATATATTAAGGAGAAAACTCACTAATCAGGATAAGGCAAATCTGTCACAGAGTCCTGGAAGGCTGATGGCCAGTCCCAGGCTACTTCTGCTGCCTGAGTCAGTCCCCACCATCCACCCATGAGGGAAAGAGAAGGAGCTGTGTATATACCCCTCAGGGCTTAAGCTAGCTCAGAGGCTACGCCCTAGGGGCTGGTACCTCAAGGTCATGGGTGGAACAGGTACCCACTACATATTTTTAAACACATTGGAACCTGTTTAAAGGTTTCTTTCTTCTGGATCTGTCCTTACTGCATATCTCTATCCTTTGCTGATTGCATGAGCCTTTAAACTGCTAAGTGGCATGGCTAAGACCTCTGCCACAGCTTTGGCGGCTAGTGCCACTCTGCTTCTTGGGTCCATGAAAGTCAAGCCTAAACCTCCTAGCCCAGTTGGAGGTAGGTGACCAATAACTGCATTCAAAACCCTCCCCCACCCCCCAGATCTGGAATGCCAGTGCCTGCACCGTGGTAGACATTTTTTACTCAGTTTTTTGCTTCTACTTAGTGTGAAAAAGGCTGTTTAAGTCCTTTGCTGTACGGCAGAATTTCCTAAAGGAGCCGTGTCCATTTTTGTTGTTTGTTTTTTAAGCTTTCTTAGGCCCTATGGAAATTCCAGCCTCATGTTAGAATGCCAGAATGTTGTTGGGTTTATTTTATTTTATTTACTCTTTTGGGGCCCTCTCTCCTGCCTAGCTATTAGCTGTTCAGCTCTTTATTAAACCAATCAGGTGTTTTAGACAGGCAAAGTAACACAACTTTACAGAGTTAAAGAAATGCAGCATCAAAGAGTCTTTGCATCATTAAACATATATTCCACATAACAAATTCCACACAAACAAATGTAACACATCTTAAACTAATATTCCACAATACTCCCTGGCCACTTGACTCTTTTTCTTCATTTGTCAGTGGACTGCTCTGACTTCTAGAGGTTTCTGCTCATAACAGCTTTTCTGGTCCCAACAGCCAATCCATTCTGCTTGTTAAGAGATGATACCTGGCATTTAGCCATTTCCTTTTTGCATCAGGTCATAGGTCACAGATCTCTGGCTAACCCCATACTGTCACCTTGAAGGCAGTTAGGAGGTACTGGACCATTCACACAAACTGGCCACTTCTGGTTTCCACTGTGCTAGTCCATGCGGCTCTTGGGGTCACTGAAAAGGCTTTGTACTTGGAGAGAAGGCCATCAGTTCAGGTCACACCACCCGGCTCCCTGATGATTAGCAAAGGTCCAAGGTCAGGGGTCCCCTTTTTGCAGCTCCTACTATCCCTGCAGAGCCACAGGGATGTTGATGCACTTTGCCCAAGGTAGTACAAGCCTGTCGTTGCTGGTGGGGTGCCGAAAGACTGATAAACCAAATCACAAATGAACAGAAGTTGCCAAGTTAACGAAAGTTGTAAGATCTCATGAAAGCATCCTGCAACACAGGGCTTCCCTGGCTGCAGTGTGCAGCCCTGGCAGTGCCTGGGGTGGATGATTATGTTAATCAGTGCTCTCTGGAGGAACAGAACTGATAGAATGAACACACACACACACACACACGCACGCACGCACGCACGCACGCACGCACGCACGCACGGTATTTATTAGAATGGCTTACAGGCTGTGGTCCAGCTAGTCCAACAATGGCTGTCTACCAGCAGAAGGTCCAGTAGTTGTTCAGTCTACAAGGCTGGATCGCTCAGCTGGTCTTCAGTATATGCTGGAATCCCGAAAGAGTAGGCTCCAATGCCAGTGAAGGAATGGATTTGCCAGCAAGAATGAGAACAAGCAGGCAAAAAGCAAAAGCTTCCCTTTTCCATGTCCTTTATATAGGCTGCCAACAGAAAATGTGGCTCAGATTAAAGGTTTATCTTCCTAACCTCAAAACAACTGAATTAAAAGTGGGTCTGCCCAGAGGAGGGGATTGAAGGAGTGGGAGGGGAAGTGGAGGAGAGGGACTGGGAGGGAAGATGGGGGTGTGGGTGTGGACTATAGCTCGAATGTAAAATAAATACATGAATAAATAAAGAAAAAAAGTGGCTCTTCCCACTTCAAGTGATTTAATTAAGAAAAAAATCCCACAGGTGTACCCAGCCACTTGGGTTATAGTTAATTCCAGATGTAGTCAAGTTGACAACCATGAATAGCCATCACATTGACCATTGGTGGGCCCTTAGGTCTGAAGGATGGGAAGTAACCTTGACTTGAAGAAGAACAGCCCTGTAGAGGATCCATAGTGGACCATGGGGGTTACTGCATGAGTGGCCAGCAGTGTGCACGCACACACAGGTGTACGTGTGTTGGACCAAGCTAGGCTTGTTGCACTCAGGTGAGATACGGGCACCCATAGAGCTGAGAGGAAAGCAGCCCTTCAGGTCCTCAGAAGGTCTGCGCCCGTCCTGATGACCAATCAGGCAGAGGTGGAAATCCCTGACCCACACCAGAGAGAATGGAAGTGAGTTTGTGCCTCCAGCTCCCTCAACTCAGCCCCAA